GCTAGCCCGGGTCAGGCGCCCCGTCTCTGCTTCCTCACAGCTTCCCCTCCTCCCTGGCAGAGCATGAGCCTCACAAAGTCCTTGGTCAGGGTAAACATCACTTAACAACAACTGAAAACATCGACTTCACCAACATTGTTCCCAGGCTGGAAGTCAAAACACAGCACTGCACCAGCTACCACAAAGGAAAAACACGACTGCTACTGCTGAACCCAGGACAGTATGTCTAGAAACAATTTAGGAAAGAAATCTGACAGCAGCCAGCTGGCAGATTCAGAATTTATCAAAGAAAAGGAAGAAATTAAAAAAAAACCCAACCCCCTAAATGTAGCCATTCACATTTATTTAAATTCAATTTTTAGTATTGTCAGGGATAAGTAAATGAAACAAGTCACAGTATTCACCCCCATCAACAAGATGGCATAGAAAAGATGCTCAGAAGTTTTTAAAGAAAATGGTCCATATATTAACAGGCCCATACAGCTTGCTCCCGCAGGTCTCTGAATAATAATTAGCAACTAGCATTATTGTTTATAAGCACACATTTTTAGTATGACAGACCAGAATAAGAACTCCAGTATTTAAGGCAGTGGTATTACTGGAAACAGTCCCATTCAGGGTCTGGCTATCTGTACATACAATAAGGCATTTTGATGAATATAGTCCTAAAAAACCAAACCCAAACACAAAACAAGCAAACAAAAACTCCCCACACATCCTCAGAAAGTCCCATATATTCTAACGTCAACAAACATGCATGCATATAGTCTCAACTGAGCACACGTACATACCATGTGTGTGAGGGGAAGGTTGTCATCCAAGAAGTGGTAAATTTTCCACTGACTTCCAGGTGGGGAGCAGCTAATTCAGTATTAACATGTTTATATTTGCTCATGTAAAGCAGCACACACCTTTAATCACCCGAAGTTGATATTTCATCTTTCTGCTCTAGAATAAGGCCATATTCTCACTCAAAAAAATCACTTTAAAACCAAAAAATAACAAGAAAACCCTATGCCCTTCCAGGGAGGAAGCAAAAGGTCTGACGTGCGTCCAAATGTCTAAGTGTATGATGCTACATGCTCATGCATGGGCAGCTAAATCACATTTTGTGACTGAGCAAACACCATGAATGAAATCAACCAATAATTACTCTTTGTTGTGTTTTCCATTTGTCCCAGCTAGATGGCTTCATTCAGTAATCCCCAAATCTCATTTTACTGTACTTGTGTTTTTTCATTCCCTTTTTCTGACGTAAGTTAATTACCTGTCCAGTACAACTGATCTGGCATTGTAGTACTCCTTTTGTTCAGAAAAATACTAGTTTTGCTGACACACACTCATGCTGGAACATCTCTGTGAGACAGAAAGACACCAGATTAGTACTTATTGAAAACAGGGAATGTTCTGAAGAAGCAACATAATGACTTCTTTCTGAAATGCGTTTTCCACAGAATTCTGTTTTTCTCCTTAGGAAAAAACTAAATGTTCATACTGCTACAAAGATTTGTTGTTAACTGCATTTAATTACTAAATGTTGGTATCTTTAATGATTATTTCTGCGTGTGAATAGCTATTTTGTTAATTAAAATGGCCATTTTTCCATAAAGACTGTCAGAGAGTCAGCCTGTCGTGCCAGCCTTAGACCAGACGATTGAGGCCACTGAGTTTTTCACAGGTGGTAAGTCAGGTATTGCTGTAAATGTGATTTTGCCAGTGAGCCTTTTCCACTGGTACCTCATAACTGGATGAGAGGTTGAATACTAGATGCTGGTCAATAGATGGCCCATGGCATTGAACATTACTTTTGTAACCCTGTACCTTACCTGTTTTGCTGTAGGTATCATTGCTTGTCATCTTACTAGGGTATTTAAAAAAACAAACCAACCCACAAGAGCAGGACTTAATTCCTGTTCTATGATCCTTATCCTGAACAGCTATATAGAAAGGTCTTCCCAGTGGGCTAAGTGCATACTTTTCCTCTTTTTTTTAAATGCAAATAATCTGAAATTTTTAATGTTGCCTTAAGTGGAGAAGGAAAAGAGAGTAATTTTCTTCTGATACAGACTATGTGTTAGTTTGGAAGACAAGGGAAAAGTTTTGGTGAACTAGTATTTTAAAATCTCTGTTGCATCTCCAGTTCAAATACGCTTACATAACTTGTTTCTTCTGCCTATTTCTGATACAGCATAAAACTATCATAATCCAACAAGATGTGACTGCCTGGCAAAGTCAAGCAACCAATAAATATTTTAAAATCTGCCTTTTAAGACTGATGTATACTCACAAATGAAATGCTGTATTTTCCCTTCCTCCAGAATCACCTGGTATCTTTTTCCTTGTGTTTGAGATTTTCTTTTCCTACAAGTTAAACTGATTTAAAAAAAAAAAAAAATTGTACAGCAAAAAAGAGCTTTCACTACTTCCCAGCTATCCCATGTACTTTCCCTTCTTTCATGTACTTAATATTCACATTAACTCAATCACAATTCTCAAAGAAGCAAACAGACAGGCTGCAATCAACTTTCATTTTGCTTTTTGGCAATCCCTATTATGATATGGAAAGAAGACACAGATTCAAACCAAACCCTCACACAAGATTACTACCCAAAACTTCCAACCTCAAACTGAGGGTGAGACAAAGTATCACAAAGAACACACCACCTGAAATTAGGGTAAAAATTGCCTGCTCAATTAAAGGTCAAGCATGACTATATAGATAAGTACTTCATCCAAGACACTTCAAGTCAACACAAAACAAAACCCCCTTCCCATCTCAATGCAGCATCTATAGAAAGTCAGGCCATTTACTTAAATACCTGCAGTTGAAACAGCAATAAGAAACATCTTCAAACACCTGCTACAGAACTTGCTTTTATTTGCAAACTTTAATATAGACTATCCATATATAAGTTACAGATTTTGAGATATGTCACACTTACAGGGAAGAGAGTCTACACAGAACTATCTGTTCTTCACTACAAAAACATTAAATGAAGATATTCAGCAGCACATAATGCCAGGGCCCACAGACGAGAAAACCTGACCTGGTCAAAGCACAGAGTGGATACAAGAAAAACAAACAAACAAAAATTAATAACATGGCTAGAGGGAAACAAATTTTTCATTAAAAAGAAGACATGCCATGAAGACGACAGACATACTGAAATGCAGAGAAGCATGCTGGACTATTTCTGTACAGCCACTGGACACACCTTTGCAATATAATTATGACAGCAGATTCACAACTCTTCTGTTTATCACTGCTGTTGTCAACTGTTTTTCATTACAGGCTTAAAATCCTTTAATTTAAGGCAATTACAGCGTCTATTGTACTCTGCATTATATTCATCACCGAAATGAAGGATTAAATTGCAGTAGTCTCCTGCAAAGTGACTGGAGCGACTGGAGTGGTTATTTTCATGCTGTGTCTCAAGAGTTTCTCTGTGTGTAAAGCAAAAATGACTTTGCTTTCTAAATGCCACTGAAGCTGAGCTTGCCAAGCTGTATTCTTGCCACTTAGCAGTTTGTTACCTTTAATAAAGAAGCACAAGACTAAATCCTCCCTCCCTGCAACTGAAAAACAGCATTATAATCTTCTGAATCTGAAGACACCAGCAGCACACTTATGATCAAGAACATAATTTAGCCAGAATAGTGTGTTATGGGAACGCATCCAGCTCAGCTCTCAGAGCCCAGAATTATTAAGTCCTTTTATTTTGTTCTTAATAGGAAGTAAAAAAACCCCACAAAAATCAAACCAAACAAAAACCCGAAAACATATAGAAGAGGCAGTGCAAATTTATTCTTCCAAATAGATTCTAAGCATTTTTCATCAAAATATACAAACCTGAATTAGGACAAAGTATATTCACCATGACATCTGGTGTTTCTGTAACTGCTGCCTTCTTAAGGATCTAAATTTTTTTTACAAGCAACAACTTACTAACCCTCAGAATATTTTTCTCATATAGGAAAGAACTACCCTAATAACTCAGCTCTCTGAAGTCCAAAATTCATTTTTGCTAACACTATCTGTTCTTTTGTGGTAAAAGAATAAAAGAATTTTAATTTCCCAGTCCTTTATTTTAAACATTTTCTAACCCTCTTCTTTATAACCCTAAGGAGAATGAGTAACACAAACCAACTTAAAAAATAAAAAATCTGATCATATTTTTTTTTGTGTTGTTCAAATGCAGTGTATTTTTTGAATGAAAAATAGGCTATTTTGTCATACAGTACTTCAGATAAACCTATAAATTCTACAAATTGTTTTTGCCTTGGTATTTCCTACACAGTCTTCCCTATCTTAACACTAAAATTCAGCCAACTGGAAACCTGTCTCAATGATTTGCTTACATATTCTTCATGATACCCAAGCAACTGATGCAACAGATGGATGCGAAGGATGCAACTGATTTAACTGAAGCGGATTTTTTTTTTTCTATAAATCATAAGCATTGAAACAAAAAACGTGATTTTATAACATACACAGAAACTAAAAAATGGTTGGAAAAGCCTCTTTTTTCAAGCTTTTAAAGTACATAAAGGTTGCTACCAAACACACAAAAGGGCTTGAGGAGGTATGTTTCAAAGCACACCAGTGTCAAGCAGATCTGATGTTTTCCTGCAACAGGCCTGAAACTCCTTGTTCTGGAGCTCTACTGAACACCAGGCTCTGTCTGCACATTCCAATCATTCTAAACCTACAACTTGGATTTAAAAAAAAAAATTTTATTTTTTTGGTACTTACTACCACCTTTCAACTTTGAAAATTCCTCTCTTCCTAGGCAGCTCTATCCCACCCGTTCTCATCCTGCTTCTCTTTCCAGTAGTTGTTGTTCTCAACCTGCTGTGTAGAATCAGACAGCAGGGCACAAAACTCCCCAAAGACACACGGACTTTTAAGGTTCTGCCTGTAGAAGGTTAGGACTCGAATAATTTGTGTACAGACTGAAATTTCATGGACCAAAACTAGAATTTTCTATTTCCTGTCTTACCTCATTCTCTTTGCATGTGTACTGTATCTTGAGAGTATCCGTGGCTCTAATCATCGCTTGCACGGCAGTAAATATATTTTAGTAAACCGGTTTTGTGAAGCCCTTCCTGTCCTCTTCCATGTAACCTGATGCATGAATAATCCTCATTTGTTTAATGAACATACTCTTGCCACTGTCTCCTGTGCCTGGAAGAGGAGGAAAGAGGAGAGAGACAGAAGTATTGCATTTGCAAATCTTGGCAGTTGAGAATATTTGTAAATACGCATAGAAGGATGTACACTCCATCTGAGCATGCACAAGAGTCACCATTAACTGTAGATCATTTTTAAATTTTCCATTCTGTATAATCTACACTGTTTTAGTCAAAATATTTGCATTGGTGGGTTTGGCAGAGTTTACTTGGTAAAGTATCTTAGAATTCATCCTACAGTGTTTAACCTAAGCATCCTGTATGTGGGAGTCAGATTACAAAACAAGCAAGATACGTGAGTACAAAAGAAAGAAATTTGGTTCATGTAAGGATAAAATTCCTTAACACTGAGAAGTTGGTAGAAAGTTTATGAACGATTTACACCTTAACAATAAAGCCTGCACTATTACTGAACTTGGGGAAGAATTTTATCATTAGGACATATTACTCAGTTTTACATTTCCACCAACTGTTACATGAACACTGGTTGAAAAAATGCTAAGCAAAATTACAAAAAATACTTTCACTACTGTCAATACTCTGGGAATTACTGATCCTATTTGAAAAAAAAGCCCAACAACTCACAGATGTATATGATAAAGTTATATATGAACTTACATCATTCATGTAATATTTTGCATGTACATATGCTTAAAGCCCATTTACAGAATGTTAACAATGTAGAGGAGTGACATGAAACCACACTGAAGCAGCTGTTCCTGAAGGACTGTACCCTGTGGAAGAGACCCATGCTGGAGCAGTTTTTGAAGAACTGGGAAGGAAAGGACTGATGTTGAAGAAGGCTGTGAATGACTATCTTGTGAGAGGATCCCAGGCTGGATGACTAGGGGAAGAGTGTGAGAAGGGAGGAGCAGCAGAGACAAAGTGTTAGATCTGACCACAACCCCTTCTCCCCATGGCCCTGTGCTGCACAGGGGCAGGAGGCAGAAATGCTGGGAGTGAAGTTTAGCCTGGGAAGAAGGAAGGGGTGGAGGGAAGGTTATTTAAAGATTTGTTCTTATTTCTCACTGTCCTTCTCTTATTAATTGACAACAAATTAATTTTAATAAGCTGAATCCATTTTGCCTGTGATGATAATGTGTAAGTGATCTCCCTTTCCTTATCTTGACCCATTATTTTTCTCATCATATATTGTTGTTGAGAAGGGGTAGTGATACAGCAATTTGGTGGGTACCTAGAAGCCAGACATTGTCAACCCACCATATATATTCACCTTCAGCTGTACTTTTTCTAGGTTAGAGTCCAACAGTTCTCACGCAGAAGATATTACTTAGCTTGATCATCCCTTTGACCCTATATAAATATTCTCAGCTCTGTTTACCTCTGAGATACACCTGGAGTACCAAAAATTCGAATACTAAGGTGCTGCCAAATCTTAGATTTATGAGGGGGCATAATGGTGTTACCTGTATTGTAAGTAATTAAAAGACAGAGTGCATGTCATATAGTTGTTCTCCACCTGTATTACTCTGCACTGACCTGCAGTTAACTTTACATTCCCTTTCACTGCCAACTCTCAATACACTTCTGCAATTTAGTTTCAGTCATCCTTATAAAACTTGACTAACACTGAACAGAAAAATTTCTCCTGTAATTGCTCAATGCCTTTCCCACCATACTTTTAATTTTCTCTATATTTCCAATTAGTTAGCACCAGTGTGATTCTTTCTTATCCAATGCAGCTTCTACAAGAGAGTCATGGACAGCCTTTTCTTGTTCTTCCCCAAATGAAGGATGATAACGAGCAAAAAACACCTGTTACAATTTCTTCTTAAAATCTTCACTGTAATTTTCCAGAAGTTCAACAATTAGCTCCATTCTGGCTGAGCTGTAGGATTTGCTTCACTTCTCCAATAAGAACCTACTGCTGGAAAGACAGAATCCTCATTAACAAACTTTCAGTAATATTCACTTAGTACCACCAGATGTCAAAAATATATGGGCACAAAGAGGGAAAAATTCCTCTGAACATTACAAATTCAGATACAGCAAAGCAGAAAAATACTGTGAGTGCCCACCTCATCATACTGTATCTCAGTACCACAGCAGACCATAGTTCGAATTTAATGAAAGATAATGCAACTGCAGGGCTCCAGCCCTTAACAGTAATAGCAACGAAACACAAAGTAACCTAGGAAAGTGTAATACATCACGCACTATTTGTGTACCATAGCCGTTTTCCCCAAGATTTATCACTGCCATCAATTCTTACTCTATAACTCTCTTTCCTATTTTGCATTGTCTATTGTGGACTTCCTTTCAAAGCTGTAGCTATCCCCTATTCAAGCATATGTTTTTCAACAGTCCTTCTCTAGGACATTGCTAGCACAGCTCTGCTCTCCAGGTAACAGCACCAATAGCACCCATCAGAAAAAGAGTGAAGCAACTTTTTAATCAAGCAATAAAAGATATTTAATACTTATACCTGTAAAAATAAGATTAATATAGCTGTTCTTTCAATAAATTTGCAGTATTTAATTTTTGCATTCTATTAATTTACTTGAGAGAGATGGAACATAGAGATATGCTGGAATACATTTGAGACATGTGAGACAAAGTACTTTACTTTTAGTAAAATGCTAACACTACATTATAAATTACAGCCCTCAGAAAGGCAATCCCGGGAGGTCAGCTTTCAGAAGTCAACACAAATACTACTCAAATACAATTCAGTTTGAAAACAAAACCCCGTCACTAACTTTTTTCACTGCCAGTGGAACCCTTACAGTTGAGAATAAAACACTCCGATTAAGCCATGTTGGATTGCTGGCCTGAGTTTTTACATAAATCAGAATAAACAGTCCTAGCACATTACATATTAAAGTGTATTTTACTCCTCAGTGGCATTTGTGGTAAGCACTTGCACAGAATACATTTAGTACATTTATCTTCAGGAAATTATCTGTTGAATCATTACTGCCAAAATATAGACTACATATTTTACTGACAAGGTCAAGAGACAGAATATTCTCAAAAGGTGACACATAACTATATTTGTTAAAGTCACAAATTTATCTTCCTTCTAGTCACTTCAAGCATTCATTTTTTCCCCTCTGCTTCCAATGTATGATTGCCACACAGGTGTTATCTACCCAAATCCTTTTTCTCAATTAAAAGAAATATTGGAATTTTTGAGAGGTAATTCAAAGAATAAAAAATTATCTTTGTTTTGGCCACTGTCTCTCTTGTCCTTAACTCCTCCTTTGCCAATGAGATTTATTTGCTAAGTCTAATATCACAAATCTTTATGGAGGAAAAGACAAGTTATTAAACAAACAAAATTCAAAACGTCAAACAAAAGAACCTTGCACTCTCATTCTCCTAAGGACTTTGTGTGTGCACCTTAATTACGTCAGTGAGCAGACTCTGAATACAGCCACAATAAAACTAGGAGGTAATTGCTAAGGACAGAGCAAATCAGTTCTAACCAGTTCTAACTAGCCAGTTCTGCTAAGCCTACTACCGTTAAGGAACATTTGGCAGAGGTGATGAAGCCTACTGTAAAACCTGGATCCACACTTGAGCAGCTCAAATGACTGAAATATGGGTGGCTCTTCACCATTACCAACTCTGTAATGGCAATGACACCTACAGCAAAATATGTAAGGTACAGGGTTACAAAAGTAATGTTCAATGCCATGGGCCATCTACTGACCAGCATCTAGTCTTCAACCTCTCACCCAGTTATGAGGTACCAATGGAAAAGGCTCACTGGCAAAATCACATTTACAGCAATACCTGACTTACCACCTATGAAAAACTCAGTGGCCTCAATCGTCTGGTCTCAGGCTGGCACGACAGGCTGACTCTCTGACAGTCTTTATGGAAAAATGGCCATTTTAATTAACAAAATAGCTATTCACAGGCAGAAATAATTATAAAATTAAGATACCAACATCTAGTAACTAAATTGGGAGATTTGCTGCCTGCATTATAAACTGAGCTAATATTTTGTATTGCAGTTGTTAGGCTTATTCAACCAAAAGAAGGAAGCATCTTTCCATAACTTTAGGATTAACAGTTTGATATTCAGAACTAAATGCTGTTAGTGCGCAAGTGTCATAGCATCACAGAATGGTTTGGGTTGGAAGAGACCCTAAAGATCATCTAGTTTCAACCCCTCCGCCATGGGCAGGGACACCTTCCATTAGACCAGGTTGCTCCAAGCCCCATCTAACCTCCAGATGTGGACATAATGAAAAGGTCTTCTAAGTAAATAAACCTCACTTACAGAAAAATTATAAGGTTGGAGCAACAATTTTTTTTTTTAAACAACAGTGGCACAAAAATTAATGCAGAATGAAATTCTGTTCATTTCAAAGAGGAGATCTGGAGCAGAAGAAAGGAAATTTTTGAGGTTTATTAGAAAGGAAAACCTTTGGGAGTCATTCAGTAATCCTAGAGGACTACTCTGCCCATTTTGTAAACTACTTCCACAGTAGTTTCCAAAGGTACCATATTAAATGCTGAAATCAGCTTCACAATGTAATGCTCCTAGTTACATGAAAGCAAAGCCACAACCATTTCCACTACTACAACGCAGGGACAAGACAGTGTTTTTAATGACCTGGCAAAAGTCAAAGCAGATTTCATTTTGGCAACACATACACAGTTAGTTCATTTTCTAATAGGACTATAACCCAAAAATAAAATGTTTTCACTTCTTTTGTTCATTTACCATTGAGCATTCCTGATATTTGTGCTAGGCAGTATTTTGAAGTATTATCTATTACTTTTTGCTAACCAGCAATACACCCCCCCTCCATAAATGTATAAACAAATCTGGGAGGAGGGAAGAGGGTGAGGGCGAGGAACAGATGCACAGGGACAGGGAAACAACAAAAAAAAAAACCAACCCCCAAAACCCAGCAGCTATTTCAGAAGCTCCATTCATATTCTGTGGGATTCAGAACCATATTCCACATCTGTTACCAGGAACACAGCCCTCATTCATTCTAAAATCCCTCATGTTAC